AAAAAAAAAAAAAAAATCTCACAAAACAATGAAAAATTCAAACCCAGTTTAATTATGAAAAAATGAGGACTTAAAGTTTGATAGACAGGGCATCAGATCTTCCTATTCAGTGAGTGTCATGACACCCAACAAAGTACATTGGGCATTCCACTCTGAAAAAGTACATCATTTGCCTCCTCTTATACTAATTGGCATGTGACTCACACACATATCCCATTAACAAATGATAACACCACTTCATCTCCTCAATGTATCGATCACAGGAACCACACACAACACAACGCTAACTCAAATTAAAAAAAAATAAAAAAAAAAATCCACAAATCAAATAGGTAAAATGATGAATCCATAAACAGACACACACACACACACATATCTGTGTATATCAGCAATGAGAGATATAAAATGAGGTAAACAGGAAGCTAAGGCTTACTATATAGAAGTTCTCAGACGCAGGCTCGTTAGGGAATCTTCAGACCACATCGGAGATGCCGTACGAGGTTGGGGCAATTCGTGTCCAGATGTCCGGCCAATGGTGCATTGGTGCTGTGGGGCCATCGACCTCGCTTTCACCTCCTACGGCGTGAGCTCGGAAAGCGAGCAGCTCGCCTGAAGTGTGGAGGACCACCGGATGCTTCGCGCCTTGGCGGCCGAGAGTGAATACGGCAGTGAGGCGGCGGTTCGAGTTAGGGTTTGGCATACGAAATTCGAGCTGGCCATTTTTAGGCTACTGAGTTTAGAAAACAGTGGTGTTGGGTAATTTTATAGCGAGGGAAGCAAGGATGTGGGTGGATTGAGAATAACGCTTTTGTGTGGGAGTCTGTTTGTAATTTAGAAGAAATTCTAGGGCTGACGTGGATAGAGTGCGGCGGCGGCTTTGGGGATATTGGGCCAATATGAACGTAGACTTCATATGTTGGATGTTTGGCCCAATAAAAGTTAAGTATGGATAATCCACATCTGTATAGAGGCCCAATCCAAACCCAAAAATAACAGATATTGTATTGGTCTTTTTCACATGTTTATTGTACTTTTTGAAAATTTCACAACAATTTTT